AAGGCGAATTGGTCTAATTGTTGGATGAGTTTGTGTTTAAAGGAAGTTTGTTTAGCCGGGATGATAGACATGATAAGTATTGTATAGGAATAATAGAATAAGGAATAAAGAGTAACTACAGGGCATAGAGTAAATAGGGTTTATCACTCTATTATGGGAAGTCGGAATGTATCAGTAAAAGTACGTATGAAAATTCATAATGTTAGTCCCTACTTTAAAATATAGTCAAAGTTGGGTGCGGCAGAAGAAGCATGAACTTAAAATGAATGCTATAGAAAGGCGGTCATTAAGAAGTATGTTACGGATGACTCCAAATGATAAAGTGAGGAATTGCGTGAAAAGAGAAAAGAATGGTTTACATTGTTTTACATTGATGTAGGTAGTGACCAGGATTAAGATTCAGTGACAAGATTCCTAAAAATAATGAATGCGGAAGAGTGACACAGCAAATTTATAGCGCAGAAGTGAGGAATCGGCAAGGGACGCCCTATACGGAAGTTTATCGACGAAATTGGCGACATATTGTCAATGGACCAAGGTAAGAGGTATCCTTAACCGAGGAGTATGTATGCGTAAAAGTATGTGGATGTGAAAAAAGCGAGAGAAATGTAGCAGAATTGTGACAAATGGCAGTCCGTAGTCTATGCCTACCATTCTGGGTAACAGACGTGAGGACTTATAAAATTATGAAAATTTATTAATCATATTAAAAATTACGTTTTTTTCTCTTTATCAATTGGAAATGAGTTTTGATAAAAACTATTAAAAGTACTAGAATATCCTAAAAACAAAAAAATAAAACAAAGTCTGTGTACATAATAATAGGTCGGTGAAAAAACTTCTTCGTATTTTGTTTGTATATAATTTAAGAAAAATCTCTTCAATTGTACTGCTTGTATCTGGCAGGTTTTAATATCATGGTCAAAGGGTATTCAAGCTCCACAGACTGTAGCGAAACTCGGATTAATACGCAACAAGGTGATGCTGCGTATATGGTGGGATTGGATGGGCATCGTTTATTATGAGCTTTTACCGCCGGGCAAAACCATCGATTCGGATCTCTACTACAAACACCTCAAGCAAGAAATTGGAAAAAAATTATGTCACTACCTACAAGATGGCAACAAGTTATCGAACAAAATGGCACATATAACATTATTAAATGTAATTAAACTGAAAAAATATATATTGAATTTGTATCTAAACTACAAAGAAACTTTTTCCCCGACCTTATATTCGCTATCTAATAAATTCAATGGCCACAAAAGTCAACTATAAACATGTCATAAATTGCTGTGTTTCCATACCTTAAAGATAATGTGCAATAGAATGTGTTGTAAATCCATTTGTATAATGACAAAGATTTATCAATAACATTGGAATTTCCCGTAACCTACACACAGAAATGAAATTGCCTTTGTGTAATTTTCGAACTTTTGGCATCCAAACGGTTTTCTGCACATTTGATTTTAAACATGATTCTAATAATATATTTCTTATATGATGTACGAAAATACCAAATCAACTAAATACTAAAAAATATTCTGCCTTTTCTATGCTGTAGCCCATAGACATCTACATCTATCTACGATAAAGAATCAAAATGCAGACGCGTTGTCACTGTCCCTGATGACTAAGATGAAAAACCTCGTTTCCAATAAAAAGGGTCTCCGATTCTCTTCACTCACCATACGAAACACAGCACACAGCATTAAGCTGCTATTTTACGCTGGTATTCTGGGAGAGTGTAGTCCTTCTCCGGTCGAGCAGATCCACCATGAACATACAACCATAATATATTTAGCTGGCTCTACCCTCTACACGTAACGTGGCTCTACCACATAAATAGCTTGCCTTATTTAAATAGAAAACTATTGAATTTGACCACATAAATTTTCCCAACATGTATAAATTGACCTTGTGTAGTGGCTGGTAAGAATACCCACTACCCCATATCTATCAAAAAATGGGCAGCAGCATCTTTCTGATAACTCATCTGATGTCTCAGTGATCGCAAGGGTGAAAACCGGCAGCGATCACCGAACGATGAGAGGCACACTGAACGTAAATGTTAAGTTGGAGAGGTCTCGTCTAATGAAGTGACCGCTCAGGCCCCCTCATGTTCTAATTCAAAGTCCCGAAACCTTTCAGCTCGAGCTACAAAACCGTTTTCAGTACCTAGAAGATTGCAATGCAGTGGACGATATGAATGACAACCTCGTGGAAAATGTTCATGGCGTCGGAGCTAATTTCTGCAAGACCCGCCGCAGAGGAACACAAAAACTCTCCGATCACACTTTTAATCTCATGGCTGTTAGACAGGAGATGAAGCTGCAGTCTTAAGCAGATTTGAGCGTACAGGCAACTGAATCTCCAAATGCATGCGGCGGGACTTACGCAAGTGTGTGTAACGATCCAAGAGCAAGTCTTATCCGACACTACTCCGATAATATTCCGGACAAAAGTCTGAGCGAGATTATAATGGCTCTCCAGCACTTTGAAAACGGCAAGGCCCCAGGCGAGGATGAAATTACAGCGGAGCTTCTGAAAGCGGGTGGAAACCGGTACTTGAAGTCCTTCAGAAACTCTTTAATTCCATCCTCCATGATGGCACTACACCGGAGGCGTGGAGCGGAAATGCAGTGGTCTTGTTCTTCAAGAAAGGTGTCAAAGCTCTCTTAAAGAACTACAGACCGATTTCCCTTCTGAGCCGTGTCTACGTGCTGTTTTCGAGAGTCATTACGAATAGTCTCACACGCAGACTCCACGACTTCCAGTCTCCATAACAAGCTGGTTTCCGAAAAGGCTTTAGCACCATAGCAAATATAAATAGCCTTCGGCAAATTGTACAGAAGTCCGAGGAGTACAATTTGCCACTATGTCTTGCGTATGTGGCCTATGAGAAAGCCTTTGATTCCGTCGAAATTTGGGCGGTGCTGCAGTCCCTTCAGCGGTGCCAAGTTGACTGTCGATATATCGAAGTGCAGAAGTGTTTGTACAGTAGGGCTACGATGGCTATCCGAGTACAGAACCAGAGTACGAAAACTAATCAACTGCAGAGAGGTGTAAGACTGGGTGACGTTATATAACTGAAACTCTTCACCGCTGCAATGAAAGACATTTTCAAGCTACTAGACTGGAAAGAATACGGTATTAACATCAACGGCAAGTACATCACTCACCTTCGATTTGCCGATGATATAGTCCTTATGGCAGAATTGCTGGAGGACCTAAGCACCATGCTCAATGACATCAATAGGCACTATTGACACCCAACGTGTAGGTCTTAAGATGAACATGGACAAAGCAAAGACCATGTATAACGTCCATGTCACACCTATGCTGGTAGTTGTTGGGAGCACTAAGCTTGAAGTTGTTGATGAGTATGTTTACCTGGGACAAATAGTCAGACTAAGTAAGTCCAACTGAGGTTAATCGACGGATTCAACTCGGCTGGGCAGCGTTCGGGAAATTGCGGCACATCTTCTCGTCATATATATCTCAAAACTTGGAAATGGGAGTTTGTACAACCAGAGTATGAGTTGCCAGTGCTGACATATGGAAGTGAAACGTGATCCTTCACTGCTGGCCGTATGAGGAAGCTCAAGGTCTCAAGGAATGGAGAGGGCTATGCTCGGGGTTTCTCTGCGTGATAAACTTAGAAATGAGGATATCCACAGTAGAACCAGAGTAACTGCCATACCCCAATGGATTAGTAAGCTGAAGTCTCAATAGTCCGGCCATATACAGAGAACCGATAACCGATGGGGAAAAAAGGTTCTCGAGTGGCGGCCTCGTACCGGCGTACGAAGTGTAGAGCGTCCCCCACTAGATGGAGTGACGACCTGGTAAGACATACAGGAAGTCGATGGATGCAGGTGGCTCAGGACCGTGCTTTGTGGCATTCTTTGGGGGATGCCTATGTTCCGCAGTGGACTTGTGAATCACTGTAATGATGATGATGATGACACAAATTTTACATAGGTTGTATATTTTTTATAGGATAGAGTGACAAATAAGCACACAGGCCACCTGATGGTAAGTGGTTGCTGTGACCGATAGACATCTACATTTGTCCTCAACAAAGAATCAAAACGCAGATGCGTTGTAACATGCGAGGACTAAGATAGAATGCCTCTTTTCTAGTAAATAGGGTCTCCGGTTCTCTATTCTCACCATACGAAACACACCAGTGTTAAACTGCTATTTTACGCTGGTATTCTATGAGATCGTGGTCCTTCCCCGGTCTTTTGTCTTTAATATACACTCTAGTGTAGTGTAGTAGTTTAAAGATTGTGAAGAATCAGTATAATTAAAAGCTGTTTAGAAATCTTAAAGGTGAATCTAACTAAGCCATCATAAGTATTTGGAGTCAGTTGCTAGTGCCACCACTTGAGTGACTTAATATCAGAAATATTACAAAAAAGGGTGTTTTTTTAATGCATTAGATTAAAGTGGCAAAAGATTTTTTAGTCTAGCTGATGTTAAGCGGCTATTGAACTCGTGGACATCTAAAACTTATAGGTCTTTTTCAATCGATCTCTCCATTCATCCATTACAGCCTATGAAAATCCACTGCTGAACATAAACCTCTCTCATAGATTGTCTCGTGCTGAGATTTGCCATAATTCCCACGCTTGCAGGCGGGTTGGCAACCGCAGATTTTTATTTTTTTAAGTTGTTATCAGGAAGATGCTACTACACATCTCCTGTTTAATTTTTTCAATAGTTTATTGAAAAACTTCAATTAGTAAAAATTCTATTGTTCATTGAATAAAATTACTTTTTGACGGATTTAATCGCGTTTAATTAACTTATTTTATATTTCCGACGTTTCGGTTGCTTTCCAGCAACCATGGTCACGGGGGACTGAGGTGACTGACGTCCCGATGTCAGAGTTCGGGACGTCAGTCACCTCAGTCAATAAAAAAGTAGTTTTATTCAATGTGTAGTGTTCGCGTAAATATAAGAAATCATTCGATTGTTCAATCAATACATACCAATTGTGAGTCAGTGGTAGTATTGCCATCGGGCCCAAGAGCCCAACCCTCCGGAATTGGTTCGTTCTTATGAATCTGCACCTCGATCTGCAGACAAGAGATTAATTATTAATAACAAAGTAAAGTAAAATAAATATGTTCTCTCAACATCTATTGGTATTTGAAAGATGAAAACATGTGCAAAAAGAGATTTTCTTTCATTCATTCATTACAGCCTATGTTCATTGCTTTACATAGGCCTTCCCATAGCCCATGCCTCATAGGGGGTATTTTGTCAAAGTTGTTATGCTTGGCAGGCGTGATTGGCTACCGCAGTTATTTTATTATTTTCAATTGTTTTTAAGAAGATTTTCGTCACCTGTATTATTGCCCTCTGTAGCCTCTTATGACATCGTCAAGCGAATACGTGGTAACGAATTCTCTTAGGCTGCTATCACACGATAGATAATTCAATAAAATTCTTTAAAGTAAAACTGAAATAACTTTTTTGATAGGTAATCTCTTGTCAATTTTTTTCCGGATAACGAATCAAATGTGTGTATACTAGGAGTGGATATAGTTGCGCTAATGCTCATGTCAGCACAAACACCATCTGCACGTGGATGACTACAAGCGGTGTCCGCTGAATAATTGTAAGTACGTTAAAGGTTTATTAGAAAATGGCAGATCCATATTATTGTGTACCATAGCTGCAGCACGAAAAGAACGGCGCAACCGGAGAAGAACCACATTAGCACAGAATACTAACGTCAGATAGCAGCTTAATGCTGCTGTACTCCAAATGGTTAGTAACGAAAAACACTAAAAATGTTCTTCTTTTTATTGATAACGGAGCAAATTCTAGACCTCAGAGCGAACAATGCATCTGCATTTCGATTCTTAACCGCGGATAATGTCTGTTGGCCAAAGCATCCACTTATCATCGGGTGGAATGTTTGTTTGTTACCTTGCTTCTATGTAATCATGCACTTAAGCAAATGCTGCTGTTAAACCACTTTGTAACGATATGTTATAATATAAATTTATTATACATTTAGTTCACCTTTCCCATAGCAACTGCGGTCGTTGCCATGTCCACGACTAATGAATCTCCGTCAAGCGCTGGAGCTGCCATTGATATTGGGTTTGTGCCACAAGCACTCTAAAATCAAACAAAACATTTTTAATAAGAATACTATTTTAATAAAAGGAAATTAGGAGAATACCTAGATTTTATTTTATATAACTTTAGTTTGTATCGATTAAGGCAAATCCTTTCCTAGGAAGGGTAGGAAGGGAGACACACATGTCTAGCCATGGATTTCTATGGCTGAAGATGAAAAACAAAAAGACAAAATTTAAATCGAATTGAAAATGTGATCCTAAAACATATGTCCTTGAGCGTAATACTTTTAGGGGAGAAGGAGGAAATGTGAGTCACTACATTGAAAGAGAGTCCTAGTTTGTTGTACAATCTATGTAAATTTTATGTTGATAAATTTAACAGTTTTCAATTTAATACGCTAAACAATTTTTTTAACATTATATTAACATGTGAGTTTGATGCATATGTCTTACAAATATTTAAGCTCTCAAAGCTAAATTATTATCTGATATATTATATTATCTAATTAAAACTGCAAACATTTATTTAAAACCACCATTCTCCTACTTTTTTAAATGTACACAACAGTTTATCTTCTCTTTTACATACCTAATACCTAGTCAGGTCATAAATTCTGTCACATGTTTAATATAAAATAATTGAAACATGTTTATTCATTATGTAACCATTTACATACCAAAATGAACTTAACAAAATATAGATTCTTATGACACTAAAGTTTATTCAAAATGACCTCCGTGATTTTGAATACATGCCTTCAATCTACGCGGCCAGTCGTCTATCGCAGCACGAACGAGGTCCATGTCAATATCAGCGGCTGCCTTAATCAAGGATGTCTTGAGTGACTCCAAATTGGTAAGGCTTTTAGCACGCCTTTTCCTCCAAGTGTTGCCATATCTTGTAATCTAACGGATTCAAATCTGTTCAAATTTTTCAGTATGTCAAAAATTTGTATTGGCGCGTAACCGCAACGATGCAACGCAATAACTGCAACACGGTCTTCTTTAAGCGTCCACTCCATATTTAAAAATGAGTAAAGTTCTAAAAAGTATATCTGTTTTATTTTCATGAACAATTCGAAATTCGAATTCAATAAACTTTTTTGTGGCCAGCATTCTAAAAGAAAAGTTTTTACTGTGTGACAATACTTATGACCTCACTAGGTATATACAAAGTTTTGACCTATAAAATTAGTTTAATAATATTATGAAAAGTTAGTAAAATTTGTTTTTAGATATAATTATAGACGATAAAAAATATATGTGGAATTGACTTGAAGTAGTGAAACAGTCTAGAGCGAAGTTTTTCTTTTATAGGATAGGGTGACAAACGAGCACACAGTCCACCTGATGGTAAGTGGTTACTGTGACCGATAGACATCTACATCTATCCTCAATAAAGACTCAAGATGCAGATGCGTTGTCACCCGTGAGGACTAAGATGGAATGCCTCTTTGCCAGTAAAAAGGGTCTCCGGTTCTCTACACTCACCATACGAAACACAGCAGCATTAAGCTGCTATTTTACGCTGGTTTTCTGTGAGAGCGTGGTCCTTCCCCGGTCGAGCCGACCCATTCGTGCTACAACTATATTACTAATATATCTGCAGCATGGCTCTACCACGTAAAATATTTATATTATTATGGAAGATGTCAACCATACCATATTTAAGACCACATACACATACACGTGTTAATGGAGGTTCTAGTGTATTAATTTAAGTAAGCAAAGAATATCTTGCACGTCTACGAACGCAGTGACGAAACTTAAAATCTAAGTAGGCTGTCCTGTAAAACGGTATCCAATCCGTCCAACCCCAGCCTATAACAGACTATAACTAACTATCTTAAGAGTTTTGATTTGGATCTGTTCTATAAACGCTTGTAGTGCACTTTGTAAAACAATAGAAGCATACTCAAGAGTACTTCTTATCAAAGCATAGAAGAGATGAATAAATGTGGATCTGGTTATTTGAAATGTTTGGTTGTTCTGGTAATAAAACCAAATGTTTTGTATGGCTTATAATCAATGTGATCATAATGGTTTCTAAAAGTAAGTTTTTCATCAAGATAAACACCTAAGTCTTTTGCCCCAGAATTGCGCTTAAGAATTTGTCATTCAAGTACTTAATCGTGATTTATTTTATACCGTTTGTTGATAAAAGAAATAACGAAGTATCTATTTATATCTAAGTAAGTCAGTAAGTCGTTTATAAAAATAAGAAACAATAGAATGACCAGATGGAATCCTTGTGGGAAACCTGATTAATGGTGACGGCAGTCGATTTTAACCCCTTAACCAATTGTCTATGGTTTTCTAAGTAAGATTATATCCAGCGGAATAAACTATCAAAGATATCGTACCACTTGAGTTACTGAAAATGTAGTGCATGGTTCATCTTATCAAATGCCTTGCGAAAAGCGGTATATATTGAATCAACTTGACCACTTACTGCGAGGGTTAAGCAAAGATAAGCCTTATGTTACAACAAATTTGATATTGTTGACATTCCCTTGACAAAACCATGCTGTTGCTTAAAAAAGGTCTAGTTACATAATACATACATAAACACTCACGCCTATCACTCAGAGGGGTAGGCAGAGATTATGGACTTCCATTTGGCACGATCCTGACACACCTCTCTTGCTTCCTCCACATCCATATACCTACGCATCCATATACATACGCACGTCTAGTTGTGCATGATAATATATTCCATTATAAATTACCGATTCTAACACTTCTGCGATACAAGAAAAAAACTAATAGGTCTATAGTTTTTGCATAACGAATAATCTCCTGATTTGTGAATTGGAACAACATGTGCACGCTGATGGAAACGACCCTGTGCTTAAAGATTTATAAAAGAGAATTGACAATGGTGGACTATGTTCAGTAGCACATTATCTAAGGAATGTAGGTAATATTTGTTCTGGTCATGCCCCTTTATTAAGATTAAGTTTCTTTAATCTAAGATTTATATCATGTTCTGATATAGTGAATTCCGATAGGACATTTTCACACATTTGAAGTGATAGCAGCACTGACCGGGTGGAGCCTTCAAATACTGAACTAAAGTAATGCGATATTAAATCGCGAATTCTTGCTGCGTCTCCGGCACTATCAGGCATTATTGAGCTTGGGATAACTTTTTTAGCTTTCTATATATTAATAAAACTCCAAAAAGCTTTGGTATGAAAAATGCTGTCAAAACTAGACAGCATTTTCATTTAGAGTAACATTCCTCCAACAAGGATCTAGCATGCAACATTAAAAATGTATCGTAATCTCGAGGATTACCATATATTTTATACTTTTTATGGATTATTTTCTTTTCCGCAAAGCACTTTTGTATATTGTATTACAAACACCCACTTAAACCTATATTTGATTTGAAGGAATCTTAGTTATACATGGCATTAACTTGTAAATATAACGTTATTGCGAGGGAGATGTTCTTCCGTTGAGTCACTTTTTATTATTAAGATAATCAGGCCGTCTCTCCACCCTGGACACAGACCTCACCCAACATTACGCAATTACAGCAATCAAATAGCATTATCTTCGTAACAAATTCGATATGTAGTCTTCTCATTGCAGAAGTAATAAATATCTATTTGGGGAAAGTATATTAATGTGAATCTGATACATAAGAAAATCACATTTTGTAATCTGGCATTATTAAATTACTTATCGTTTTTAATAACCACTTCAGCTTACCTGCTTTGATCTTGTTGGGACCATAACGGGGGAAGAGTTAGTAAATGCCATGCCAATGAGACCTTCACGCTCCGCCTTTATAGCCCAGTATCCAGCCATACCGAAGTGGTTCGTTCCTAGAAAAAAATTTACAACCAAAGAATCCACTACTCCATTTCTTCCCGAGGGTGTCTTAATAGATGAATGTGGGGAATGGCAGAAAAATCAAAAAATTTTGTATTTTTCATAAAAACTTTAGAATTTTCTCCTGTATCGTGGAGGCAGTTTACAAACACAAATTGCACATGGACAAACATCCAGACCCGGAACAATTATTTGTAGGCCATACAAATACTTGTTCCGTGCGGGATTCGAACCCGCGGCCCCCAGGGCAGCAACTAATTGCTAAGCCACTGCGCCACGGAGCCGTCAAAAATTTCCAATAGATGGCGGTGTAACCATCTTGCTTACACCAGACGTAGTTTACCCAAACCGAAAACGGACAGCAGCATCAAAGGTTCGAGTCCACTTGCCAAGCGTGACTATTTAGACAAATCCTTCATTCAATGATGAAGAAGAAGAAGAAAATATAGATTTACATATAGACGCTATGTTGAATATTTGTTGCAATAGACCACGTAGCTTAGTGATGAGAGTACCTAGCTATCATGCCGCGGGTCCTGAGTTTGAATCTGAGCCAACATTAGTAAAGTAACCATTTTGTCCCAATTTGTTATATGATTGTCCACGTGTCACTGATATTATAGTCTTATCTACCACCAATGTTAGTATTGTCCTTAGGTATTGTCTATATCTGGTGATGACGACGACGAAGAAACGAAAAAATTGTTATAAAAGTACATATTAAAAAAACTGAAGTGACAAATGTAGTTACAGTTCACCTAAAGGTTACTTTCGTAGTCCATAGACAACTGCTGCCAACTTCAAAGAAGGTTACAGATACATTTTTACATCTGAGGACTAAAGTGTAATACCTCACAGCCTACAATTATACTGGCTCTATAAGCCCTTTTAATTAAAACAAGACACTTTAGCAAATTGCGCTTTTAGAATAACTAACGTTTTGCGGATACCCATCCAACGCCGGACTCCTTAGCCTTCTTAATAGCCAAATCCATGCAAAAGTTGGCTGCCGTCGCACCGAGCGTTTCCATACCGTCCACCCACGCTGTAGCCGCCGACTCTTTCAAAACAACTGGTTTCCTTTCGGGACATGTTAGGCCTCCTTTGATATCGTTAACGTACAGTTCTATAAAATAAAACAAACAAAACATTAAAAGCGGCTAAATATGGATACGTGCAAATGAGCAGCCTACATTTTAAAATATCCATTTTGTGCCGGACGGGCGTAACTCTCCGGAGTAAATGTTGTCGGAGATACCCCGCGAGTCGCTCACGTCCTACACCTGTAGGTTCCAGACTCCTCCAACTGCCGTCTTTCACTGCCGTCTCTTTGGTTGCTGCGGATAAACTGTGGACTGAGGTTCAAAATTAAAATGCACGATTTGTAAATTAAAATAGCAAGGGAGTGGCCAGCGGATCGACTAATTAATTTGTCGCGAGATTTTACACTGTTATTTATTTATCACTATTTTTCAACTATGATTGTTCACTATATATTTTAAAACACAGATTTAATTAAACACACAGTAATATTAAAATTTCTATTGGTTTTCTAAAATTTCTATTCGTATTTTTAAAATATCTGTTGGTAATATCAAATTTCTATTGGCAGTAACAAGTTTCTATTGGTATTCTCTACAATTTCTATTGGTAATTTTAAATATCTATTGAAAGTAACAAATTTCTATTGGTAGTATCCAAAATTTCTATTGGTAGCAGCTGGTTTTCTAACACTACTGACTAGCAGCTATTAATCAACTAAAATTAGTTGAATTTAAACACTTTTGTAACTGCGAATATCAGTTACCACTTTTTCCGTCTAGCTAACACTTTTCACGAAATGTAACGGCGAAATTTCCGTTACCACTTTTTTCAGCTAGCCAACACTTTTTCACTATATGTAACTGCGAATATCAGTTACCACTATTTTTGGCTAGCTGACACTATTTTTCTATGTGCAACTGAGAATTTTCAGTTGCCACTTTTTTCGACTATGTGTAACTGCGATTTTTCAGTTACGACCTTTTTCGGCTAGCTAAACTTTTCTATTTCACTTTAACTTTTCACTGTGTTCTGCTACTAGTCACTTCAGCTACTACCGGATACTGCTGCTTGTTACTGGTAGTTCTTCCTACTACAATGTTACTATGATTTGCCCCCATAAGGTAGACTTCGGCTATACTCTATAGAGAGCCGCTTGCCAATTCCCATTTGCCTCTTTATTTTCAATCATTTTTCTTTATGCAAATGGCACAAATTGCAACTTTTCTATATAATACAAATCTTAACTCTAACATGCTATACATCATTAAATAGACATTTTTGTTCTACATTAGTATGCGATAAAGGATAATTAATATATTTACATTTAACAAAGTTATTCATTGAAATGTCCTAAACTTTTACACTAATTGGTCATATTAATTCTTTAATTATCCTATAACTTTTAAATCGTGCTTAATTATACAAAATATTTCTTTATTATAACGATCTATACATCATATGCTAACTAAATACCATATTTACAACTCTTTTCAGACATAAAATTATTCTCATTAATTTTTTGCTTAAAACTATTACGCAGTTAATTTAAATTTCCAGAAAGTTCTATAGCGCGGCGCGCTGTGATTGGTCGATATTTTCTTAAACAAAATAAAGTTGTTTATATTAACTATTGTCAAATCGACCTTCTATACAAACATATTGAGAGTTGTAAATACATGGTAAAACTATATTTAATACATTATTTAGTCAATTTTTCCGTATTTTCATTTTTTAAACAAATAAATATTCCTTAATCACTTTCTCGTTTAAAGTCATTTTTGCCGTTGTGAACAGTCATTTTGGCCGTCTCGAACACATTTAAAGCTTATTTTTTAAGAAATTATTGATTTGAAACCTATTATTTAATACTATTTTTGATTTTTTTGATATTGTTCTCCAAATTCAACATAATACGTGGCAGATTTTAAAAAAAAACGGTTCGCCAAAGATGGTTAAAGTTTATTACATACATCTGCTGTCTAAAAGAAACTAATAAGAAATGACGAATGCAAACTCTTTTTTTTTTCGCTTTTTGTAAATATAACCCTATGTTAAACATACGGCTACGGCTAAAGACATTTATTCTCTTCTCAAAATATTACAAATAATCACTTACAGATAAAATACAATATTATGAAACAGTTTAATTAAACCGATTAGTGTAGTTGGTATACATAGGGTATAAGTTTAAAACTACACAGATAGGGCCTATTATACTAAGTCTCGGCTTGTATTTGTTATTTATTCTGTATCAAATTACTACAATTAAGTCCAAAAAAATATATATGTTATAGGTACATCTTTATTGAGTGATATTAAAGGTTCAAAATACAATACATTGTACTTTGCTCAACAAACAAACAGTGTCGATTTTAAAACCATTTTTCGTTTTACATCGTAATTACAGCACGAAATTATATTAAAATTGCATGTACTTAAAAGTAATCGTATTATAAAGTGATTATTTGAAAATCAGTAGTTTTGTTAACAAAAGAAAATAGTAAAACGGCTCACGCGGAGAGGCGCATATTATCGTGTTTAGCAGGCGTGTCACTTTGTAAAAATCTGAGGTATGGAAAATGGTGGCGCGATTTTCAAATTTGTTCGCATTACTCGTGGGGTATTAAGGTTTAAGAGTTTGCAGTGTATATACTCAACTTATTTATTGAACTATAAGATGTGGGGTATTGAGGTTTAAGGGCTTGCGATTTATTTATATGGGGTTTGTAGTAATATGCGATTTATTTCCTAATTTCAGCTATGGAATTCCATACCTTGAAAAACTTGAGGTATGGAGTGCTCCATACCTTCCATAGTGGAAGTGACAACCCTGGTGTTTAGTATCCAGCAATTTGAAAAACAAAAAACATCTTATGACCACAGTAACATAATTATTCTAAGTAAATCAGTACGACCATTATTGTTTCCGAAAATGTATTTCTATGAAGATTTTGTAAGAGTATCGCTTATACTCTTACAAAACTCAAACTCTTACTGTACGAACATTATTGTAGCCGAAGATGTGTCTAAGTTATTTTAATAATTCTATGTAAATTAATAATAGACTTTATTTATTACAGTGCATCAACACCCCGTTCTGAGAAAGATAATTCGGCACATAAAAAATTCACAGAAGAACAGTAAGTAACCAACAGGCATTGATTGAGCATATGCAAATTGATTTTATTTCCGCGCAAGTCATAGACATACACGTAGATTATTATACATAAGGTACCTGCGGGTAATAAGGCCTAGCTAAGGGAAAATCGAAAATAATATCCGAAATATCTAATTTGGTCTACAAATTTTAATATAGATCATTAGTTTAGTACAGTTTCTAATTTCTATAAAGTAGGAACGAATAGTTGTAACATTTGCTATAAAGAAAAACTACTAGTAAGGTTTTTAAAAATTCAACATTTTTAAAAAACCTTGCTAGTATGCCTTATTTTACTATGGTAGGATAATAAGGTCTACTGCTCTATCGAACTAAAATATTCAATTTATACCTAATATATTTAATATTTCTGATCATTAATCACATGAATGCAGCAATTAAGACTTAAAATTCTAAAAAAATATAAAAATTGCCTCATCTAACAGTACTTAAAGTCATTAGTATAATGATGAACAAACTGACAAACAAACTCACTCCTCGTGATTATCGTCAGTGCGTCGGTTGTGTCTCGAGTTGAGTTGAGTGTTAGGTAGAGTTGAGAATTGGGTTTATTGTTGTGTTGAGTGTCCTCCCAACCAAATTTCTGTCTCAGCGGCCAGTCTCAACGGCGAGTAGCCCAACAGCACAGTACAGAATTATAGTATCTGAATGTATGCGTAAGCACAGGTGCACTCTCTATTTTCCCAACAATCATAAAATCGCAATCCGACACGGTCCGAGAGAGCTTAGGCGCAGGACTCAGGATGTCAAAGCCTTAATTCTTCGACACACTTTGTCTTTGCACTGTTTGGAGAGCTGAAACCAGGCCTTTTTCTGACTATGACATTAGTGTAATAATAAAAGCGTACGACTTACTTGTATTTATAACATTTTAAAAGTTATATAAAATTCATAATAAAACAAAAAAACCTACACAAAAAAGGGAGGAGCCTCGCGCCTGACGTTAGGCGAGTAGCACGCGTTCACGCGCATTGCTAAGTGTTTACGTATAGATTGCTGTTCATTGTTTACTCACGCGTGTAGGTAGGGCCGCGCGGCCTGCTTCCGCGCAGGCTTACTCGGTAGTACTTACGAGTATAAGCGAAAATGACAGACAGAAATGAAGAATTTAACAATAATATTATATATAACGAAGACAATATTACAGAATTAGAAGTGGAAGAGCGGGATAGTATTGATATAAATACGCCTAGGATCATAAAAAGAATCAGAGAAACGAAGGAGAGTACGAGGAGTGGAGTATTGTGAAGGGAAAGGGTAAGAAAAAACGACTGCTCGAGAATGAGAACTTACGTAGAGAAACGGATATCGAGGTATATATTACATGCCTTGAAAAGCTGCCCAAGCAATTTGCTTTGGCACGGTTATTCAAAGAAAATAAAATATATATAATATATATAAATAAATATATATATATAAAGATATAATTAGAGTTAAATATTTAAGGAAAGAAGAAAAAAAAATCTACACTGATTTTGAAAAAGCTTTCGATCGTGTGGATCACATGATCCTGCTCAACAAATTACAAATATTAGGGATTCACGGTGACTTGCTCCGATGGACTGAATCATATCTCACAAACCGCTCACAAGCAGTCGTGATAGGTGGTTTCCGTTCGAGCTACATAAACATACCTACAGGTGTTCCTCAGGGCTCTCACTTAGGTCCACTTTTTTACAATGCCTACCTGTATGACATTGGTTCGTGCATTATACACACAAAATAGCTCATGTATGCAGATGATAAGAAGATCTTTTGTAAAATTAACACCATACATGACTGCCTATTGATACAAAAAGACCTGGACCGTTTATTTGAATATTACAAAATAAATAATATAACTGTCAATGCAAGCAAGTGCGAATGTATTAGTTTTACATGGAAATCTAAGCCAATTCTAAATA